TAAGTGTATCTTTGTATTTGTATCTCGTTGGTACGAGAATGAAATTCAGAATCATTAATACTACTTATTTTGCATAACGCTGTGAACAGGATCTGGTGAATACGTGGAACTATCAGTATGTGTCTATATTTCTGAGATGAGGTATTATGTACACTACTTACATTATTTGGACTATTGTCCTCATCTTTGTCGCCATATTTATTACAACGTTTCGGACGTTGTACGCTCCGGACTTCTTCAGGTGGTTGGAATGTCGAACTTAACACTTTATTTCGCACACTGGGGTAGACCAAGCATAAAAATAAATACAATATGGGAACCAGTAATAAGGGGTGCCAGAGAAAAGCGATAATAACAGCAAAAATTGCAATATGAGCTCTGGTAAAAACATGGTGTGATAACAGCAAAAATTGCAATATGAGCAATGGTAAAAAATGGTGGTGAAGACATTAGGTTTATAATACCCAGAAATTCATACAAGGACACATGGCACAGTGGATAAAGGCGTTGGTTAGATCCAGTGACGGGATCTAAAGAGTTCAATACCCGGTTAAGGCAGTAGAGGGAATTAATTAATTAATGGACATCCATTAAACATGCTACGTGGAACTTAGCAAAATAAAGGGTTCAGTTCGACATTCCAACCGGAGCGTACAACGCTCCAACCATAAATATGGCGACAAAGACGAGGACAATAGTAGCCCGAATAATGTAAATAGTGTACGTGGAACTATCTTAACAAAATAAGACATGGAATTCAGAATTACTACTGCCGTTGTGGTTATTTTACAAACTGCTCAAAGTTTGTTTTTTTTCCGAAGAAGAATGATGCAAATGCATAAAAGACTAGCGGCAAAGACGGGAGGCTCGTCAAATCCAGCTCGGCTCAATTCTAACGATCAGGTGTAACCAGGTAAGGAACGGTTTTGTGTTTGTCAGTAACCAAAAGCATGGACACGGAAATCGAGAAAGAAGGATCTGTACCGCTACGGACTTTCTAAAATAAACTGATAAACACATTTTAAATAATCAAAATGTCTCCTTTGAAGTAAAATTTCGATTTTATTTGAAAGATTATAGCCTAAAACAAAAGCTAATCCGAATTTTAAAAAAATAATAATTAATTTGCGTATTTAATTAAAGTTATTTAGGCATATTTAAAACATTGGCACTCATCGAACGGCCATTATAGACGAAAAATGTAAATAACAATTATAAAATTCCTTTAAAAATTCAATATTTATCCTAAAGATATGTTTCGAAATCATTTAGTAAATTTAAGGATTAATTAACTGGATTTTGTAAAATTAATGTTTACCTTTCACTTAAAAGTTAAAACGTATAAAAAATAACGTTTATTTACGTTTTTTTTTTTACCTCGAATTGTTGTTCAGTGCTAAAAGATGAATGTTATTATTACGGCCTGAAAAAGGGAAAAGGAGGTGAAATTTTCGTTGACGCACGTGTTAACGACCTGTTCGTGTGAACTGCTTGTCCTATAGTAAGATTGTCACGTGTAGAGAAGAAAAGTTGGTTCGATTCTTATTGGTTTAGAATGAGTGAATTAACGATAATTACAATTGTTACAATTATTTTATTATAATTATTTTTGACACTATAATTACTTTTTATTTTTTATGGATACGATAGTACTGTAAAGCGGTTCAAAAGTTTACCTCGTGCCTCGCTCTTCTGGGCTTAGTCGAGGACAAAACATGCCTAAATTTTTGCACAACAACTAAAATTAGGGCTATATATATATATATATATATATATATATATATATATATATAAAAACTATAGTAAAAAAAAACTAATATATATATATATATATATATATATATATATATATTATAGTTTTTTTTACTATAGTTTTTTCTATATATTATATATTTTTCCGTTTGTGGGGATGGGGTGGGGTAAGGGAGTAAAACCGCCCGCAGTATCCTTTGATTACGCTTTGGGTCACTTCTTTACATTTTTATTTTTTGTTGTTAATTTTTCATAGATGTTTCAGATGTAGTTTTGTGATGCAAATGTTGTGTTTTATTCCGAAGAAAAACAGTATTAATATATATATATATATATATATATAATGTCCAATAAAAAGAAATTGTTGTAGTGGTTCCAACGAAAAAATTCGTTCATTAAAAAGAAGATTCCGAAAACGTTTTTCCTTGTAATGTGAACTTATTGAGATAAAATATTATACTTGTTTTAATTTCACTCTGGTCTACCATGAACCTTCATGAAAGTGGAATTTTTACATATTATTAAAAAATAATTAATTTTTCTTCATGTTCAATGTGGAATATTCTCATATCTTCTGTTTGTGTTTAATTATCCGAATTTTCTTTCTAGAATTGTCAATGAAGAGTTCTGCGTGAATGCTAAAACAATTAAGGTTTGTCCAGTATTATCGGCATTTAAACAATGTTTTTATGACCTCATATGTTAAGAAATGGACTGTTTCTATTTTGGCGTCCTGTCAGCAATTTTATTTATTAAAGGAATTCAAACTTTTTGTACTTATATTTATGTTTAACACTATCCCACCACAAGTTGTTATTTTATAGATCACTAAACATTAAAAGATTAAATGCAAATAACTCTGGACAAACCTTAATTGTTTTATGACCCTTCACGCAGAACTCTTCATTGACAATTCTAGAAAGAAAATTCGGATTGCCAACACACAAACAGAATGTCTCATATCGAGAATATTCCACATTGAACATGAAGAAAAAATTAATTATTTTTAATAATATGTAAAAATCTCCACTTTCACCTGAAGACGGTTGCGAGACCAGACCAGAAACACGTGTCGTGAAATTATGTAAAACAAAGTATAATATTTTTCTCAATAAATCCACATTACAACCAAAAACGTTTGCGGCACTCCTCTTCTTTTTATATATATATATATATATATATATATATATATATATATATATATATTTAGGCAGCATATTTTCATTCAAACAAGTTTGGTTAAATAATTTAGACATATAATGTCGATTAATTTCGGTTGTGATCCTTTCAACTTGATTGAAAATACTTGCGAAACTAAAAACTATTTGAAAGAAAATTTTGGTATTTTCCTTAATCAATTTTCTAAGGTGACCAAGAAATTAATCTGCGAACTTGAAGGATCACAATGAAAACTAATCGAATGTTTGAATACACACACACACACACACACACACACACACACACATATATATATATATATATATATATATATATATATAATAAAAATGCTTAAACACTAATATTCCATGGTCATAATTTATTCCATTGGAATCGTAAATACGATCCAATTCATCAGACCTACAAATTCAAAAAGAAAAAAGAAAAAAACAACCCCGGAAATAAAAATAGAATTTAGAGAGAGTGTAAGTATGAGAGTGTGGGATGAATGTTAGAGCTAAAGAGAGGGGTAACAGACGAGGGAAGGAGGGAGATTAAACCTTAACAGAGAGAAGTTTAGGAGAGGTGAGTGGAAGAGGTTTAAGTGAGAGAAACATGAATGTTGTCGGATTAAAGATACATTTCGTTGTGACATACACACACCATAGACGATCTATGTTAAAGATCAGAATAAGAGGGAGGGAGAGGAAAGGAAAGAAGAAGGGGTGGTGGAGAGAGATGGGGCGGGGGAAACTAAAACTGAAGGGAATTTGCTGAAAGCGCCGCTGTGTAATTAGGTAAATTTGACAAAATTAATATCGACTACAGGTTACAAATCAAATATACGCATATAAAAAATAAATACCTCTTTATATATATATATATATATATATTCGCTATATTTCATATTGTTCGCTATTTTTTTCATATTTAGTAGAATTTTGTTCCCTTTTGGGAGAATCGTCAGTGTTGACTCCCCAATCCTGCACGTGGAGAATGATTCTTCCTGTGCAGCACTCCTGATCCAATGATCATCTATAAAAGCAAGAGAAAAGAGGAGACGCCCCAGTGAGCTGCCACAGAAATCCACGACAGTTGAAGCTATGCGCCGATCTTCTCACGCAAAACTCACAAACTGCATATTCCTTTACACTTACATATTTTTTCTCTTGCACGGAAGAACTGTTAAAAACACTTTTCCTTTCAGGGAACTTTGATAGTCAAAGAGCGACAATTCTCGCCTTACCTATTGCATGCTTTTTCTTACACATTCTTTATTGTATGCATTGTTGAATACACTTATTTTTTTAAATATATATATATAATGATACCTTTACCTTGTCCCTTTCTTCACATCAGTTTTGGTTTCCTAATCAAAATTAAATAAATGTGGTGGAAGTCCGTCACACTTTCACTCTCTGTAACCGCCTGCGTACTAGTGGCATGCCCGCCTTGCTTGAAGGAAAATGATAAAAAAAATAAGCTAGTATTTTATTCACGTCGCTATGATAATTTGAAACGCATAAATAACATAATAACATTAGATATCACCTCGAATACAATCACTGGTATTTTTTTATTTCAATTATTTCCCCAAGGAATTTGGATGTTTAAGCATATTTTATTTAATCATTTACCTATTAAGAAAAATAACAAAATCAAAAAAGGGAAGTTTTGTTGAGTAAAACTGTAAAACTAAAAATTTTAAGTTAATGTCGAGCCTGGTCAGTACTTAGATAGGTGAACCGCTTGTGAATACCTGGTACTGTAAGCCCCCCACCCTCCCGCACTTTATTTTATTTTTCGTTAACTGCTTAAAGGGGTATTAACAACGTATCAATTAAATTTCTCATCATTGCTTTTTTAAAACCATAAGCAAGAAGTCAAAGGGAAAGTGAAAAAAGAAGTTGAAAGGTTTGCGGTGATAGAAAGGGAGGAAGAGAGGAAGAGTCTTTCTTCAGGTTTTTTTATTTTATTTTATATTCTTTAGATGAAAGAAAATAAAATAAAAAAATGAAAGATCATGTTTCATAAAAAAATAAATAGAAAAGAAAAACCTAGGCATAGAAAACTAAAATCAAAGTACCCGCTTACGGCCATATCACGCTGAAAAACACCGGTTTTCGATCGATCACCGAAGTTAGAGCCTGGTCAGTATTTGGTTGGGTGACCGCTTGGGAATAACAGGTGCTGTAAAGCATTTAACTTTTTCTTTTATATTTGATGTTTCTTAACCACGCTTATTACTCAACAATTTCCATGACATAAAGCTATAAAAAATGCAAGTATTGTTGATCCACAATAGCTCTGAGATCCGATATTTTTAATTTAGTGAAAATATCGGATCTCAGTGTTGTTGTGAATCAAAAATACTTGCATTTTTTTATTATTATTATTGAGTAATAAGCGTGGTTTGGAAAAAAAAAATCAAAATATGAAAGGAAAAAAAAAAGAACGCTTACAGCACCTGGTATTCCCAGGCGGTCACCCATCCAAGTACTGACCAGGCTCGACGTTGCTTAACTTCGGTGATCGGACGAGAACCGGTGTTTTCAGCGTGATATGGCCGTAAGCTATCGTAGGTGTGTAAGTTGATCCTTTTATTCTTAGTAAGACGTTTTTCTCTTGTATAATAGAATTTTTCAAAGCTTATTTTAAAATAATTAATAATGTATTCGCTAAATTTACTACCGTAAAGCAATGTATTTTTTTTTGATAAGTGAAACGAACGAGCTTTGTAAAGTAAAGAGCATGATTATTTATAAAATAAAAAAATGCTATGAAGGAGCATATTATTTTTGTTTTATTTTGTTCAAACTTCATGCAAAGTTTGCGCATTCGGTTTATTTTTGTTTGTTTTAATTTCAATTAAAAAAAAAAAGCTTTCTTTATTATTTAAATTTGTTCTTTTATTTGTTTAAAGTTTTTTATGCGATATAAAACTACGCTTATCAAAACAAAAAAAATACAATGCTTTACGGTAGTGAGTAGTGATTTCTGGGACGAAATTCTGTAAAAGAAGTAAATTAAGCCAAAATTTATGCATGAGCCAAGGAAAATAACGGGATGTGTTCCGCATTGAATTAGTGAAACAAAAAAACAATGCCAGTAATGGCGGAAGAATGACCGAGAGAAATTTTTTTTTTGTCGATAACTCAAAAACGGTAGGTTTTATCAGAATTTTTAATTGTTAATTTGAGTTCAGCATGTTCATTTGCACGGAAATATGACGATTTGGGAAAAATTTAATAGATATTTAGCGAGGGGCTTAAAAAGCAAATTTACAAAACAATTAAAACAAATAAAACAAAATTGACAAATTAAAAAATAAAACCGTAAAGCCTCGTTTTTAAATTGTAATTTTATTTTCGAAATTAACTGTCTGTTTACAAAGTTTGCGTATTTTTTAATTTGTCATTATTTTCAATAATTGAAACTTTTTTTTTACCTTGCTCTTTTTACAAACTTTTTTATTTTCAATTTTAAAAAAATAAAAAATGCTTTACTGTACTACTTAATTTGTTCTTTTTGTTATTTTTTAATTTGTCAATATTTTCATATATTTGAAAGTTAACTTCCTTGTTTTATTTTAAAAAAATTCCTTTCTAGCCTTTTCTTGACATTGTAATTTTTGTTTGTTTTAATTTTAAGTAAAACTACACTTAACCAAAAAAAAAAAAAAAAAAATTACACTGCTTTGGTAGTGCGTATTGGTTTCAAAAACGAACTTATGCAAAGGAAGTAAATAGGCCCAAATTTAATCTTGCGCCACCGGATGTACTCGGCACTGATTCAATAACATTTCATTTATGGCAGTAAATGGAAGACGAACGATCAACAAGAAGTCCGATTTTTTCTTGTCGATAACTCCAAAACGGTAGTTTTCTTCATAATTTAATTGTTAATTCGAGTTCAGCATGAATATTTACGCGGAATGACGATTTGGGGAAATTTGAAGAGATATTTAGCGCGCGGGTGTTTGGGCATTAAAAGAAGAACATTGTCCTGCGACATTTTTTTGCATCTGGATTCGAAACTTTCAATTAAAAAAAAAAAAACTTTTTTATTTAACATTTCACCACGTTCAAATTTTAGAAACAACGACTCATGCATTAGAAAACTTTTCGTTCACACACTTTCGGCATTAAAAAATTTTCTTTTTCAAATCTACAAAGTGGTCTGAAAATCTTGTCACCCCGGTTACATAATATAATTTTCTGTTTCAGATGAATGACAGGGCTCCGTCCCTGTGCTGCTGGGATTATGCTATGTTTTTCACACCCACATACACTCCAAGTAATTTTATTCGCCTGTGATTGGCTAATAAATTATTACTACCTTTGTATAGGACAATTTAGCCATCGCAGTCGTTCCTTTGAATCTTTTGGTTCTAAGCATACTTACCTATTCTGTTTAGTACAAGTGTAGTGATTGGTTAATTTTTAACCAATTACATATTTTTAATGTAAGATCAAGTTTTCCCGCGGTTCCGTTGGAACCTACCTTTTTTTCCTTAAATTGGGCGACTTTTTGCAAGTCGCCAGTAAGATTCAGTAAGATCACAGCCGTCAACACAAATCCACGATCTTGCTCAACGCTCGCACAAACACAGAATTTCGTAACTTTAACTTACATTTTCTCTCTGTAACTTTCGTCAAGCACAGTTTACCAGAACTTTGTTGATTCAAACTAGTTTATTCATAACACATACCAAGCAATTGTATTTCTTCGTGTTATTCATTCTTCACATTCAAACTTTGCTCTAACAATTATTTCGGAACATTTATCTCACAAGAGAACTTTCTTCAAACAGTTAATTACAATCAATCTACAGTTAAAGGGAAACAACTTCCTTCTCTTTAATCGACACCGTGAATACAAAATTATTTCATGCTTGTTGTATTTTATTCAATATATATTTGTTGGTTAACAAATTGGAGTTGTTTTTATTATTACTTGAATCCTGTACGTGGAAAAATATAATTAATATAAATAGTAATAGTACCTATATATTTGGTATCCCGCTACAGCGGCTACAGTATCATGGCTATGACTAGCTTAAGACCAGCTAAAGACCAGCGGCCCGAATGAAAACACTCGGGTCACCACGTTAAAAGCTGATCTTGTGTCACAACCTGACTCAGTGGGGGAGGGGTCAAGTAAATATCCATGTGCTTCTACAGTTTGGAAGAGATGTAAGACCGTAAGAGGCGACAAAACTTTCGGACCACCCTGTACATTTTTTCGCTTTTGCTTTACACGATCTAAATCTCTCCTCTGTCACTAAAACAGTTGGTAGGTGGTTTCCTTAGAGTATTCTGTACAATTTCCGAAAGTTACCTCCTTCCAAAAAATATATACACCAAAGGAACCATTTCAAATATTTAGATAACGGCTCATAAACGTATAATAAAATAATATATATTCAAAAAATTTAATGACGATAATTTGCTTTCTATTCGAACTTAAATGAATGTATAGGATACAAATCCTATATTCCAACAAATGACTAAAAAAACACAAAGTAGATTTGCACACCCGCAAAATCGGATCAAAACGACCAAAAACAGATTTCACAATAAGGTGTGAAATTAATTTTCTGACCAATGAAAGGAGGCGATTTGCTAAACCAAAAAAAAAAAAAAGATAACGAGCCAGTGTGAAAAAAAAAGTCAACAATAAATACAGAGTTTTCATGTCAATCGCCAGTCAGTCAGTCAGAGAAGGGCGCAAAAGATCACAGAAGATTGACAGTAAATTTCATCACTGACTCAAACCGACACAAGAGCCGAAAGTGGAGTACGAAAGAACAACAACAACAACAAATTTACAACTGACTCCAAAACAATTCATAAGTACATTTTCCTTTTATCTTTATTCCTCATTCACACTCTTTTTCAACTTAAATTGCTCGCCCCTTTTTCATTTGCAACTATACAAATATATATTACTCTGCTACTCTGTTAAACAAATTAAAACATTAATCATTTTTACCCTATTCACAAGATAATAAATATACAATGTTCTATTTTCTATAAACGTTCCTTATCGTGTTGTTTCTTCTTGAAATTTGCGTTGTATTTTGTGGACAGGGTATCCCGTATTAAATTCTCCTTTAATCCGGATACGCTGAACATCACAAATGGGCCTTTTATTTTAAAAGGGAAATTTGTTAGTTGACACCGCCGCATAAAATGTTGAAACGAAAACGATTTAAATTTCAAAAGAAAAGACTAAAGAGAGAGAGAGAAAAAAGATGATACATTCGTAAGAAAAATGAACGTTGACTTGAATAAGTGATTAAATAAAAAATAATTATATTTTCTTTAATTTTCCTTTTTTCTTAGATTCCAGAATATGACAGAAGATTTCTGAATCAACATTTAAATGACATAAGAGTAAAACAACGGACATGATGAGAAAAGTTGGGAGTTTTTTATGTTGGTGAGGGAGGAAGTTTTATTTTTTGAATTTTGATATTTTTTCTTTTTATTTCGTTTAAAAATAAGATAAAAAGAAAACGATGAAGAAGTGATAGATATTTTCACCTTGAAAAACAAATGGAACAAAAAAAACATCTGTATAAGAATAAAAAAAAAAAGATGACTATTGGATATAATTCATAAGGCCAGATCCCGTTGGAAAAAATTTTTAAAGTTTATAATATAAAGAGAAAATCTACTGTCTAAGAATAAAAGGATCAACTCAAGCCACTGCCTTTGTTTATGGCCATATCACGCTGAAAACACCGGTTCTCGTCCGATCACCGAAGTTAAGCAACGTCGAGCCTGGTCAGTACTTGGATGGGTGACCGCCTGGGAATACCAGGTGCCGTAAGCATTTTTTAAAAATTTTCCTTTTTCTTCCCCTCTATACTCTTTAACTAAAAGATTTTTCTTTTCGTATTTTGATTTATGTTTTTATTTTTTTAAGCCAGCTTCTTTGAAAATACACGCAGTGCCGCTCTCAGAGACAGTGGAGAAAGTACTGCAAAAAACGCTATGCCATCGTGCCCAAGCCGGACTTTCAGCTGCAACCGTCTACGTCTGTCCTTTATTGGACTCAAAGGTGACTGAAAACGGCATGTCCAGACTCCCATTTTTGTGTTTTGTTTTGATTTTTGTTTTGCGAAGGCAAGCCGTGATGATTTTATGTTATTTCATGACAGGAAGCGTAAAAATTATTTTTCACCAAGACCCAGTATTGTTGATCCACAACAGCACTGAGGTCCGATATTTCCACTATTTACGCTGTTGTTAGGGTTTTAAAAAGTCTAAAAAGTATTAATAATTAAAGAAAGAATAGGATGACTTTTTTTTTTTCATCTGGATTCGAAGCTTTTAATTAAAAAGCTTCACTTAGAATTTAGCCCGGGTTAAATTTTCAGAAACAGTGACTCCGACTTCTAAATTACAAAAACACGAAATCATTTCGTTCACCACATAGTTTCGTTCGACATTAAGCAATTTTCTTTTTTCAAATCTCCAGGGTGGTACGAAAATATTGTCACCCCCCGGCTCCATGATATGATTATTATTATTATCTGTTTTATTTTTTTTTAACTGACTTGTGCTCCTACAGTTTGGAAGAGTACTAGAGGGCGGGGGGGGGGGGGGACAAAACTTTCGGACCACCCTGTACATTTCTTCGCTTTTCCTCAGTCGATCTGAATCTCTCATCTACACGGTAAAACAGTAACACTAGCAATGGTGGTTTCTTTCTGAATGAATCCGAAAGTTACCTCTTTCCAAATTCAAATAGCGACCGACTCAGTTTATCTGATAACCCTCTCTCTCTGTCTTTTTTACAAATACTTTCATGGCAATTGCTCCGAGGAGCTGCATTCGCTGGTTCACAGACTTCATGAGTTCAAGCGCCCTACGAGGCTGGCATCCCGCTCTCACTATTTCACTGTCGAAACTACTATGTAGCCGTCTCTTCTACTCCAATTAGCTTCATGTCTCGCACCGCTCGCCTGTGGAACTCCCTTCCCTATTCCAGTTTCCCTGAGAGCTATAATCTCCAACTATTCAAATGTAATGTCAATCGACATCTCCGGTTGTCTTGATCTATCCACTATCCTTCTCCTCATCCTTTCCTCTATCACTCCTATCTGATCTTGCTCCAAATAACCCCTTGCGTCCTACTGGTTTCCCGCCTTGCTTGGGGTGAAACGCTTAAAAAAAAAAAAAACGTTAAACGGTTAAAGATATTCAAATTTTTACTTACGATAATTTGTTTTCTATTCGAACTTAAATGAATGGACGTTTTATTTTGAAAGGGAAATTTGTTGGTTGACACCGCCGCATAAAATGTTGAAACGAAAAGGATTTAAATTTCAAAAGAAAAGACTAAACAGTGAGAGAAAACAGATGATCCATCCGTTAGGAAAATGAACGTTGACTTGAATAAGTGATTAAAAAAATAATTATATTTACTTTAATTTTCCTTTTTTCTTAGATTTCAGAATATGGAGATCACAGCTGAATCAACATTTTATTTTTAAATGACATTAAGGAGGTTATTTGATATTGGTGAGGGAGGAATTTTTATTTTTTCCCCTTTTATTTCGTTTAAAAATGACACAAAAAGAGGAAGAAGTGAAAGATAATTTCTCCATAAAAAAACAAATGGAAAAGAAAAAAAAATTCCGTATAAGAATAAAATAAATATTTAGGATTATAATTCATAGTTTAAGACCAGATCACGCGGAAAACTTTTCGTTTAAATATTTTTACATTTTAATTATTTTAAAATAATTTTTGAAGAATTCTATAGAAGAGAAAAACTTGTCTAAGAAGGATAAAATTATCAACTTAAGAAGCTGTCTTAGTTTACGGCCATATCACGCTGAACACACCGGTTCTCGTCCGATCACCGAAGTTAAGCAACGTCGAGCCTGGTCAGTACTTGGATGGGTGACCGCCTGGGAATACCAGGTGCTGTAAGCATTTTTTTTCTCTTTTAGACTTTTTCTTTCACATTTTGAATTTTCACAACAGTTTTTCATAAAATTGCTTATTCGGTAGTCAACATTTCAAATTTCTTTGCTAAATATTTTAAAAACGGGTAGTAATTTTTGTTATTTCTGAAAAAAAAATCATCCATTTTCGTGCTGCCAACTTATTGAAAAAGATCTTTTTTTTTATGCCTCCGCTAAAAAGACTGAAAATTAAGTCTACTAATAACTCTGTAAAGGTCAGGTATTGATTTGTTTGACACTTTAAACTTCAACTGGATTCTCATTTTAAAATCGATAACAAATCAATATTTTCCTAATTAAATGTCGCAGCCCAAGGAATGTCAACTGAAAATCGACAAAAATTAAAAATTTATTTGCTCATAAAATTTTTCCCATATTTTTTTAATGAGTTGACCAGTCTGGTTAAGGTTAAAAAAAGTAATAGAATGCTATTGTTATTTATTTTCATTAATTAAATTTAAAATAAATAAACGTTGTGCTCCCGACAATAAACACAATATTTACATTTCGTTGCATTTATTTTATCAGCTAAGTTAGGATTCTTCTAGCAGATGTGTTAGTTAATTAAAATTTGGGCCGCTAAAAAAATAAAACTATTTACATTTACAGTCAACAATGTATCACTTCTTTAAAAATATCACCGGCATTTTTCGTTTTCAAACAAAATTTCCAAAAATATTTGCCTTTTGAAGTGCGCTTTTAATATTGATTCATTTTTTCTTATATATCTATGAAGAATAATAAAGGAACACCTCCACAAAAAAAAAAAAAAATGCTTACAGCACCTGGTATTCCCAGGCGGTCACCCATCCAAGTACTGACCAGGCTCGACGTTGCTTAACTTCGGTGATCGGACGAGAACCGGTGTGTTCAGCGTGATATGGCCGTAAACGAAGAGGCTGTTTTAGTTTAACTATTTTATTGGTAGCATATGGGATTTTTCTTTTTCACTTTTTTATATTTTGAATAATTTTTATATTTTTTCCTTCTTTGTTTTTTTTTTTTTTTTTTTTTAACTTAGATGAAATGGAAAACCAGTGTTTTCAACGTGACATATGACCATAAACGAGAGCTTAATCAAAATTACAAATATTCATTTTTTAAATTTTAACTGCAATAACTATGTACCATTTATTACTTCCACAATTTTATTTTTGTATATTTACAAAATAAATCCCCTGTATCATTTGGTGTGGTTATTTTCACGTCCAAAAATGGACGGGACGACCTGGCTATTTAACCTCCCCACCCCCACCCATTACCTACTGTTATTCCAAGCATCTTCCCTTTTTTTATTTGTCATTTTTTTCCCACTCTGTTTCCGTCTCTCTCCTTATTTTTTTGTTCTGATAAGCAGATTAATTTTGAATGCATTTTACAACCTATTTTAGACTTAAATGCAAAAATCATGAATTCGTTTAACTCGACTTAAATAACAGTCGGGAGTGACCTCCCTTAATATGAAATCAACATGGCAGAGGCCATTAGATTGTGATTGAAATAATGAAAAAACGCTTAGTGTTTTTTATTTTTTTTTAGGTATGGATAAGTTCATAAATAAAACGAAACGAAAAATACCGGACGAAGAAAATGAATTCTCTGTTGTTGCTGGAAAAAAGTGCAGCCTTGAGAAAACTGAAAACAAAAACTCTTTAAGTATGTTGTTTTGAAAAATTTTTTTACTTTTCCAGTTTTTCTTTGAAATTTAAATAAATTGAATAAAAAAAAAGAGACCTTTTTAAAATCATTCCAAGTTATAGTCATTTTAAATTACTTTAAATTAGCTGAATTAATCATCAAAAATTATTTTTTTTAAACCCAAGAAGATAATTCATTTACTTTTTTAAAAGCCATAGGCAACTAAATTAATTTCTGAATTACTTTCTGGATAAGTTTTAAAAACCTCTTTAAAAAAAAAAAAAACCATTGACAGGTGGTCCGACAAAAAAAAAACGAAATCATGTTTTGTTTGAATTGACTTTTTAAAAATAAATGGAATCATGACCATTAAATTTCTTGAATATTTTTTTTATTGCAACACCTTAAAGCCCCTGCCTTAAGTAGCGTGAATAATAAAAGAAAGTAAATAAAATAATAAAAATAAAGAAGCTGCCCTCAACAAGATTTGAACTCACAAAAAAGACGCAAATATTTGCAATACTTTTTTTTTTTTTTTTTTTTAAAGAAAATTTGGTTAAAAAATACAATTAATAAAAAAAACATTTCGGTCTTTCCTAAAAAAAAATAGTTTGTCGAATAAAACTTTGTTTTTTATCAAGTTTTGGGCCATTTTTTCATCATAGTTTTTCGATCGAGTAATGCTAAAAATGCAGAATGCTCTTTCTTTTTCAACGAATTCGTGGAGGTACCGGTTTTAAAAATAAAAATGTCATCGACATTCAAATTTTCCTGAATTTTGCTTGTAGCACCGTCGTAAATATGTAATAAACATTTTTTTTATTCATTTTTTTTTCTTCAAATACTTTGTAATGTGACGATGGTTCCTTTTTTTTCTACTTGTTGTATTACAACAGGAATAGACATAAAAAAATAAAAATAAATGTGCTCGCCTAGAAAAAAAAAATATGTCTGAGCCTACGACACTTTGCCTTCCTTTTTTTCTCAAATTGAAACCCTAGTAATAAATAATTGCTTTGCTGTTCTTTTTTTTCTACGTATCCATACTGGAGAAGCCAATTGTCAAATTATATTGTCAACGTCCTTTTTTTTTCTATGTCCCTTCAAAATGTGGACAACCATAGCGTTTTTTTGTTTTTGTAGCTCTGAGTTAAGTTTTTTTGTCTCTTTTTGCTATCCTTCATAGTCCCTATTTACATTCGGGCTATCTACGTATATTGTCTTCATTCCTGTTTGTTGTTACCACGATGTTTCGGCTGTTCCTTCGGCCGTCATCGGGTATATCGATCTGGGTAACCTGAGCTGATCACTTTATTCAATCTATGGGGGTAGAGACTGTTCTTTTTCTACTGCCCATGTCTAGGAATATTATCGTTCTTATTTTTAGTACTGCACAGTTATTGCCCGTCCTTTTCCACTGGGTCCAAGTACACACTGCTCGGCCTAAGGATTGAACTCACAATTACTATGTCACCTCTTATGCTTTAATCCAGTAGGCTGTTGTCCCATAGAACCAAAAAAGGATTCCTTCTGTTGCCCAGATTGATGAAAAGGTAAACGTTATCGGTTAACAACAATAGAGATGAGAATATTAGTCTGAATGTAAATAATAATAAAGAAATTCCTAGTTCCTGTGCTACCAATTATTTACTTGCACAAGTAGGTAGGTTATTTGCCACTTCCCTCTGCCTTTCAGTATGCCCTTGTGAGTGTCAGATTATCAAAGCCCTCTTTCTTCATTAAATGTTGTCAATATCTTAGAATATGAGTATGTCAGGTCAGCAGAGCTTCTATTTTAAGAAAAAAAAAATTCAAGCTTGTATAATAAAGTAACATATTAACCTTGGAGTAAATAGGTCGTGAGATTACAACACTTGTCTGCTGAGAACTTTTCATAACAACCACTAGATGGTGTTGCCAAATTAGTATATAAAGAAAAGGGCGCAAAAGTATCTATCTTTTCTCTTTCTTTTCACATAGGATTCCGTAGAGACAAGATGTGGGTTCCACATCCACAGGAAGCATGGTGGAGTAATGGATAGCGGCTTGGATTGAGGAATCGCAGAGCCGAGTTTGAATTCCAGTCGAATCCATTACATTCATTTACCTTGGGAAAGGTATGAATCCTCTTCCTCTCCCTCCAGCTATGGGTAAAATAGCAGGACAGACTGGGTTCTATAGCCTTGGATAGCAACTGGTCTAGGAGAAGGAAAACTCTGAATTCAAAAACCTGCGGAGGGTGAATGGAGTCTCTCTGAGCCTTGGTTGGCAATCCATTTAGTGATGGTGTCACGATAAAAACACCCTTGATAGCCCTAGCGAAGCATCAAGAATTCAGCTATTTGACAAGATTATGAACTACACCAATCAAAGTATTAGCTATGACAGATAAGGAATACTGGAAAGGTGTAGTGAGTTCAATCTCGGCTGAGGCCGCAAGATGATGATGATGATGTGGGTACCCCTCTGGGGGAGCTTTTGGTAATCAACAAACCACATATTACTGAACACAAAAGTACACAGCATACAAATACTCTAAGTTTACTTGACTACTCACAGGCATATCTACTAATTCTGCTAAACCAACAAAGAACTTTTTTCAAATGTAAGTTTCAATCTTTCATATGAACATTACACATACCCACGTATGAAAAAAGAACATCTCTACATACACATATATGAAAGAAGACATCGCTACACACACATGAAAAAGACATCTTTACACACATGCATACATATGAAAAAGACATCTCTATGTATACACATGCACACATGAAAAAATATATATACACACATATATATATATATATATATATATAGATTCTGATTTCAGTTCCACATACACACGCAGAAAAAAAGAAAAATACTGGATTTTAAAATTAAATACATATAAACTAGGGTTAAATAAAGACTTGGGTATTTTAAATCTTTATAAATATTTCAATAGTTAAACATTTTTTAGATATAGTTAAAAAATTTTTTATTTATTATTTTATTTTTTTAAACAACATCTAAGATATTATTACAGTTAGATTTACGTTAGGAATATTCGTTCCATATCACATGACGTCCGCATCTCGTGATGGACGCTACTTGTAAACAAACAGTTATTTTTGAAGAAAGATTGAGGCCAATCTGAAATATCAAATATATATACAAATAAATAAATACTTTCATAAAAGAACATTATTATTTTTTTAATTTGCAACTTTTTCTATATATATATATATATATGTATATATATATATATATATATAGACACACGGTGGAGGCATGGTAGAGTAATGGATAGTGATTTGGATTGAGTGAGCTGAGTTTGAATTCCAGTTGAATCCATTACATTCACTTATGTATGAATCCTCTTCTTCTCTCCCCCCACCAGATATGGGTAAATAGCAGGTCAGACTGGGTTCTATAGCTTTGGGTGCCAACCAGTCAAGGAAAAGGAAAAACTGCGGATTCAAAACTGACCTGAAGTGGGTTGGGCTCTGTCAGTCTATCTTTCCCAAGAAAAACCACTTCTACTGTGGCTGCAGTACATGTGGTGCTCATTGATATGGGATAAAACAAAATACACACAATAGGTAACTTTTTGAAGAGGTTAAAAATCATGCATTTTTAGTGACCAGTTACAAAGGTAAATTTTTTTTCTGGAGGGGTTAAAATTTATGGAAACAAATTCCAGGATCACATTACACATGAAGTCAACTTATACACGAGTATGTACAGTAAGAATTATGATTCATCAAGGAAATTCAATGAGTTAAACCTGTGAAATTTTCAGAGGTATTGTGAGTTGCGTTTTATTACTATTTTATTACTTCAAACGTTATTTTTAGTGGATTTGGAGATTTGAGTAGATGTTCCGTATTTATTTTATCTGCCATCTGCGCATTCAAAAAAAAAAAAAAATTACTAAAAGAAAATTTCATTTGAAGTAGTAAAAATAACAGAAATCAAAAAAATAAAACCCATTAATTCTTTAGAAGTTGCTTATATTATTATTATTATTATTATTATTATATAAATATGTCATTGTGATTGGTTGATTTTGTTTTTTAATGGCTTATCAACACTTTTCAGATTATTTAAAGCCAGAAAATAATTTTAAATTGTACTAATTAACCCACAGCTGGGGAGAGAAGAGATGGATTCTTACCTTTCTTAATAGCATTCATGGATAAGTGAATATAACAAACCCAATGGGAATTAGAACAGCTCTCTGATTAACAATTCTTGAGCCATTATCTATTACATCACCCACATATGGCACATCCAAGCTTACAGCACCTGGTATTCCCAAGTGGTCACCCAAATTTTGCTTAACTTTGGTCATTGTTTTAGGAATGGTGTTTGAACGTTTTATGACCATAAGACTCATTGACTGTGATCAGCACAACAAGTACATTGCTAGTGATAGTTAATGGGCACCATCAGCAATGTATCTAAACTTCCATATTGTTTATATCAGCCAGAACCCTAACTGTCACTATAAGAAAATGTCAGTTGCCATTCTCTGTATACCAGGGCTTCCCAATCATTTGGTGTCATCGCCCATTTTCACATGAAAAAATTTCCACCACCCACCTGTATAGTAAATATTCAAAAGCATACCAACATTTTTTGGTAAAAGTTTGTTACTGGTTCATAAACTGACTTTATGATGCAGTAAAAGATACCAAAGGGAGGTAATAATTAACACTGACTTAAGTGGCATCTGCTGCTGCTACTACCATATTAAACAAATGGAAGCAAACTTGACCATTGAAAACTATGTAGATAATTTAGTTTTATAGTTAGGGTTAGTGTTGCAAATGCTGACAAAAAAAATAAAACAATATTTGTTCATAATTATAAAATTAAAAATAATGTACACTACTAGAAGCTAATAGAAATTTAGCAAATATTTTTTTTTATTATACCTAATACTGAAGAACTATTTGCATGTTAATGACTCTTTGCAAAACTATAGAAAATACCAAAATATTCCTTGTTTATGGGAATATTTATATATTATCTAGAAATGTAAACTAGTTATTTCCATTTAGCCTTCTGTTTATATTTTATTTTTTTTGTTTTTTATACAGGTTCTTTGCATATCTTCTCAACCTAACCAACAAGTCCTTAAAAAAATATCTAGCCAGATTTCGGGAAGTGGGTCGAGCAGACAACTTTTCACCATGTCATCATATATAATCAGATTTTGTCTAAAGTGATCTACCAATGAGAACTTTATTTTAGCATTTATAGATATGGATACTTTTGATTAATCAATTCCATGAATGATTTTGGTTTCAGCTGAGCACATTCTAGTGCAGAGTTCCCAACCTTTTTTTGCATCATCACCCACTTTCACATGGGAAATTTTACACTGCCCACCTGTATAGTAAATATTCAAAAGAATACCAATTTTTTTTTTTTTTTTTTTTGGTAAAAGTTTGTTAATGGTTCGTAAACTGATTTTATGATGTAGTAAAAATACCAAAGGGAAGTAACAAATAACACTGACATGTGGCGGGGGCTGCTGCTACTACCATGTTAAAGAACAAATGACAGCAAACTTGATCATTGATAACTCATATATATATATATATATATATATATATATATATATATATATATATAATTTAGTTTTGTGTTATGTTTGCAAAAAATTAAACAATTTTTTTTTCATAATTATAAAATTAAAAAGAATATACATTACTAGCACCTAATAAAAAGTCAGCAAATATTTTTTCTGTTATGAAGAACTCTTTGCATGTTAATAACTCTTCTTGTAACTATAGAAAATCCCAAAATATTTCTTATTTGGCGGGGAATATTTATATCTTATCTAGGATTATGACCAACTTATTCCATTTAACCTCCCGTTTTTATTAGTAAAAGTCCTTTGTGTATTTCCTTTAAATATTTTCGTCCAGGTAGCATATGTTGAAATACCTTTTTAATACTCAAAATCCTATATTGCCCACCATTTTCTTTTCAGTTGTGCATCACTGACACAACAGCTAAAATCACCCACTGGTGGACAATATCACCCAGGTTGGGAAACCCTTGTGTACACAAAGTTGTACGTCAATTTGATGCATACTTATTTATGTATGTGTGTATATAAACAAATTAATGTATATCTATCAAACTCGTAGGATATATTGAAGGCAAGAGACACACACAACTAGTAACAGAGCTGAGAATCTTCTGTGAATGGACGGCAAAACAGGGAATGCAAATGATAGTAAGGGAACAAAGGATAGGAAGTTGTGTTATTTCGTCTGAGGAATTATTTGAATGTTAATAACCCTCCTAAAAACTATAGAAAATAACAAAAATATTCGTTGTTTGCAGGGACATTTCGTTGTTTGCAGGGACATTTTATTTAGGAATGTGAGTCAGTTATTCTTATTTAGCCTCCTGTTTTATTTTTTACAGATTCTTTGCATATCTCCTTTGAATATATATATATATATATATATATATATAATTTTAAATATCTTGTCCGATTTCATCCATTAGGTGTTGATTTTTATTTATTTTAAAAAAATAGTGGACAATTGGAAATATAGATGGACAATATTTTTTTGGCCGAATTTTTTATTTGTAAAAAAAAAATTGAAAAATAAACTTTTTTAATAAATTAAAATTTTTTCCATTCTATATTTCCAATTGTCCACTATTTTTTTGTTCAGTTGCTCATCACACACCCAACGGATGAAATCATCCAGGTTAGGAAACCCTGCTGTATACTGAAATAATTAACATTTTCAGTACCAGGATTCATTGTAATATTTTAACATCTGTATTTCAGTTCCTTTGGTCTGGAAGAAACTGGAAGCCGAAGATCTTGACTGTGATTATACTCTGTTATACACCAAGGCTGAGGCTGATGCATTATTGTCAGAGTGTGAACAGACAATCTCCTACAACACAGGTCAGCTAGCTCGGGTGCAGGTATTTGGCAAATGGCATGATATTCCACGAAAACAGGTAACTGTCAGTGTTTAGCTTAGCATTCTACGAGTAGCTAACAAATAACTGTATTTGAACGCAAATAAAACATATTTTGTTCCCAAAAAATGATTTAATAAATTACTCTGGGTCTTAACTATGAAGTTGAGGCTTCCCATAAGCTAATTTCATCCGTAACACTCACTACAATAGGTTAAAATTTTACATCAAATGGTCAGTTCTACCTAGCCTGACTCCATAATATTATTTATGGAAATAGCATTATCATCATTTGCTACTACAAGAAGATTGATTGATTGTTTTTTATGGCTTATCAACCTTTTGCAGATTCTCTAAAACCAGAAATATTTTTAGATTGTAAGAATTTTTTGTGAATAATAATGATTTATTGATACAAGACCTAGTATTTAACCCATAGCTGGGGGGAGAGGTGGATTCATACTTTTCCCAGGGTTATTTGCACATAATTGAATATAATGCATCAGTACTCATTTGCTCACAGAAGTTAAGAAGTTGAGCCTGGTCAGTAGTTAGATGGGGTTCTGTTTAGGAACACAAGGTACTGTAAACATTAGGGAAGAAAAGAAATTGTATATTTGATTTTGATGGATTTATTTTTTTTGCAGTTTATCAACCTTTTGCAGATTATTTAAAGCCAACAAATATTTTTGGATATTAAAAATTTTTGTGGGGATAATATATGATTTACTGATACAAGTCCTAGTATTTAACTCATAGCTGGGGGGAAGAGGTGGATTCATACCTTCCCCTGAGGTATTTGCACATAAGTGGACATAACAAACACAACTGGAACTGATCAAACTCAACGTTGCTTAACTTTGGTGATCATACGAGAACCGTTGTTTCAATTTGATATGGTCATAAGCCAGAACAAAAAAAAAGTAATTATAACAAAATGCCTGTGACATTCTGTTTTGTTATTGTAATTATGTTGAATATTTTCACAAATGTGATTTCTTGCTTCATGTTCAGCTATATTGCAAGCTTGCTTTTCATAAAATGTTTTCTACTTTTTCTCTTGCATTATTTCCATTTTTGAATTTTTTTTTTTTACTTTCATCTGTACTGCTTGCTTGCTTTTTATATACAGTAAGGTTTTCTTCCATAGTTAAAAGTAATAGCTTACTTTAAAATTCGCTAAAACATTTTTTCCTGCATATGTCTTTCTGAACTGGAGATGCATCTAATATGTCCGTGCATCTTTCATGCCATCAAGTGTGGTAGCTTTTTGGAGTTTAGTATTTTTGGCATAAAATATAGCTGTAAAACATAAATGATCTGGGAAAAAAAAAGAACTTCCTTATTTCCCCTGAATTCCCTGTTGTTACTGGAAGAAAGTGCTGCCTTGAGAAAATTGAGACATCTTTAAATAGCTTTTGTTTTGTTTGTTAAAATAAATCTTGACAAAGTTTTCATCAATGAATAAAGATATTGTTATAGCAGAGAGCGTTACTGAATGAGGAATAACCAAAATGGAGGTTGGAAATGAAATGGTACTCTTTATAACATCAACAAAATACAATACTTGCCAGCGGCGTGAAGTAGGTAAACCACTGCTAGTAGTGGACTACTTAGGCAGCATATTACCCCCACTTACAATAGTGTCTAACATATTTATGAGGATTGGGACATACCCATTAGTGTTCATAGGTACAGTATATAACAAATATATAAATCTTTTAAAATCATTCCACATTTAGTCATTTTTTTTTAATTATTTTAAATTAATAACTGAGTTAAGAATATAATTTATTTACATTTTAAAAATAATTTGCTAAACAGCTACATTAATTCCAAATAACTGTCATATATATTTATATAATCTCATTTCACCCCAAGCAAGGCAATAAAGACAGAAAATAATGATTTACATTGCATGTAAATTTTTGAAGATCAAACTTGACTGGGAAGCAAGAAGCCATAAAAGAGTTCCACAAGTAAGAAGTGCAAGAGAAGAAACTGTTAGCATAGAACTTATGGTTGCATCTAGTCATTTCAGCTGTAAAATGATAAGACCTTGCTGCTAATCTAGTACTGAGCTTAAATTCATAAAGTCTAGGTACCACAGAAGAAAGTTTGTCACAATATAATGCCATCCATAAAAAAATTAAAAAAACAAATTCTGACATTGATAGATGGTGACTTTAAAAAAAAAAAAGAAAAATAACCTGAATTGTTTTAATTAGTTTAAACTTCTCTAACAAAAAGGAACTTCTTAATCATTTAATTAAGAAAAGCTTTTGAAAGTTAAAAGGTTTACATTAAAATTTGGCCTTTATGTGACAGTATGATTTGTGACCCTCACATAGGGTCACAATCATAGGGGATAGTTGTGATTTTATCCCACTCTCAAGGGTTTTGTGTTTTAAGACCAGCAGATGTGGTTTTCTAGGTGACATTCACTTTACTGAAAAGAAACAAACGAATACCATATTTTCTTGTGCATAATAGGAGAAATTTTCAGTGAAAATGCAAGGCTAAAAAGAGGGGTTCGTATTATACACAAGTATACGTTTTCATTTTTACTCAGCTTAAAAAAAACTCTCTTATTTGAAACAGCAAGATTACAAATGCGTTCTATCAGTACAATAGATAATAAAACACAAAGTAGGCAGGTATTGATAACAGTTGTTTACAAAAGGTATTTGATATGTCGGCCATATTTGTTCTTAGGGGAATCAGTGTAATTGAACGTTTTTTTTGTCTCAAAGACAGGAAATTCAACAAAATTGATTTAAAAAAAATTAATAAAGGGAATACACAAGATCTGTCATGTTTTGGCAACATTAATGTAACACCAAAGCACCTTTTGCTGTAAATTTGAAAATAAGTTTTCAACTGAAAATTAGGGGAAGAAACACACAATAGCTAAACAACCAGTTCATCTCCATTTATTAATATCATGAAACATTAAATATTTTAATGAAATATATGTTTGAGATTGAGATTTTAATGGATAATATGGTAAAACTTTAAAAAAAAATTACATAGAGATGGCTGGGTCATATACTCAATATAATATATTCTCTGTTTTTAGCTTTAGAAACATGTATTATACACAAGTCATATTATACACACGTTGAGATAGGCAAAGACATGCTAAAAGGATGAGTTGAAAGGAAGATATTAATCTGACATGGTAGAAGTTGTCCTAAGTGTCACCTACCTACCCATCCCAACTGAGCAAACAAAGCTCTAAATAAAATAACTAAATGTATTTAAAATAGGGTTAGAATCTTTATATATATATATATATATATATATATATATACACACACACACACACTGTTAAATAACATAAAATGTATCTAATTTTGGTGTTTAGTGTGTAACATTTCAAAATTTAAGCATTACCATGTGTTTGACATATGAATATATTTGAATTTATGATCACCTTTCAAAAATTAGAAAAGTAAAATAAATAAATTTTATATATATATATATATAATATTAGATAACAATATATATTTTATATATCAAAAACAATATTGAAGTCCTAAAACATGAAATGCATCACAAGAAAACTTTTTCCACTTTCCTTATATATATATATATATATATATATATTAAAAACTTGATAAATATTATTAATGAATATTTAATATATATATATATATATATTAAATATTCATTAATAATATTTATCAAGTTTTTAATATGTGATAAATATAGTCACAGTTTAACGTAAGAATCATTTTGATGTTTTCACCCTGCATTTAAATGTATTTAATATATAATCAAGTAATTTAAAAATAAACATAAACAATTGATAAGTTTGTATATTACCAATTATACAATACTTAGAGATTTCACTAATTTTATATAAATATGTGTGTGTGTGTATGTATATATGTTAAAAAAAAAAAAAAACATTAACTGGTGCAAAATTTAAATTTTCTGATGTTTCTAACAAACTAGCATGTTAAGAATTCAAAATTTAGGAGTTAGAATTAGCATTCATTTGCTCAGAATGAGTATAAATGTAGGATCTGATAATTAGTTCAATCAATTTATCAAACATTTGACCCTGATGAGCATTTCAATACAAAACTCTTGAATCGACTGACCAGATAAGTCACATGAACTTTTCTTGATTTGTTGAATATTATAGCTCCTGTTATCTATTGAGCATTTTTTAGTAGCAGTTCTCCTGGCCTGGAAACACATTCAATTCTTGTTATTTTTATGTATTTGCTCAATTGACATATAGAGTAAATTATAATTTATAATATACGTACTTTGTATTATTTACAATATAAATTTTTTATATGATTAGCAATTACTGTATTATTTACTATATTCCATATATAACAAATTAACAAAAAATGTGTATATATATATATATATATATATATATATATATATATATATATATATATATTTTTTTTTTTTTTAAATTATAGCAATAAAAGTATAATTTATTATAAAACAAAATCTATATTTTTTGTTTCCAGGTTGCCCATGGAGACCCAAATTTGTCATATACTTTTTCTGGTAATACTGTTCCAGCTCGTCCCTGGAAACCATTACTAAATAAAATTCGTGAAAGGATCACTGAAGTGACTGGATACACCTTTAACTTTGTTCTTATTAACAGGTAAGTTCATATTGTTTTATTTTTGTATGCACGTGTGTAAGAATGAACAACTCATACATAAAATATATATATATATATATATATATATATATATATATATATATATATGATAAAAATAATTAATTATTTAAACAAGAAATAACTAAAAATTGAATACACAAAAATTTCCCCATATTCACAGGGATATAGGGACAATTACAAAGTCCACAAATAGTTAGAATCCAATACTTTTAGTTCCTACCCCAAAAAATGCTTAAAAGTACCTATTATTTTGTTTTTAAAACCCCATATCTCTTTAAACTTTCATCCTAAATACTTTAGAAACATTTCAGACCCTTTTTAAAACATTTTTGAATAATAGTATTGGTGACCATACACTTAACGTAAATTTTCTTTCATATGTACAATAACCAATTTTAATTACGCACAGATCAATACAACCATTGAAAATACTGTATAAAATATGTGTAACAAGATATAAAATATAAAGTTTAAAACATTTTCTAAAAATGGAACTGTGATGATGCCCCCAGACTTAACACAAAGCCACTTTTAAGACCCCAGCCGCAGCCCCTAACAAAGAACAAAGCCCAAGCACTACGGATGTTTTTGCATTTGTTTTTTACAATGAAGATGTACAATTCTGCCAATTTTTACCATAAAAATGGACTGTTATATGTTTTAAGTCACTTAAATAACAGGAAAATAATACAAGAATGTTTTAAATATGTTCTATCAAAAAAATACACAAATTGAGGGAGTTCTCAGTGAAAAATTTGTACATATGTTCTTCAGAAAAACATGTGAACAGCTGGAGTTTCTGCAAATAACAGGTACATATGTTTTAAAGAAAAAGCCACAAATGCTGAAACATGAATAGGTGGGGGCTCATTGTACATCTATATATTCAAAAACTTTAGAAACCTCTAGAGTTTTCAAGAAAAAATAGCCTTAAAATAAGTCTTCTCTCTGAAATCTGAAATAACATTGTTACATTATTTTTGACAGTCAGAACCATACATACATACACACACACAAAGAAGAAAAAAAAATCAATCTTGAACCAATAAATGTGCCTAAATTATTTTTTTAACTTAATATAAAAATAACGAAAATAAGAAAATTGACAGACAACTGCTGATACCACTTGATTAGTGGATGGAACGGTTACCCAAAGGTCCATTTAAGAAATTTTGGAGTCAGGGTGTTGAATATAACATTAATCAAATAAGTAACAAATTTTATGTTTGTATTAATCATATATATATATATATATATATATATATATGTGTGTGTATGTACACACACACACTAGCTTAAAAAATCCCACCTTATCAGGTGTCATTTAAGCTAGCTCCTTCAGAGGGCTCTTGATCGGGCCTTTATCACAATAGGTAGGAAGGGGTAGATGTGAATATCCACAATAAATTACAGAAGAACTCAAAATTGATTACTGCATTTAAGTATTGCATTAATATTTAAGCTTACCTTTTAAGAGTTCAGCAATAATTCTGCTGCTGCCACTTAATTTAAAGACAATTTGGTGTATGTTGGTCCTTACTTTTTATACAGACAATTATTTTTATTTCATGGGTGACTTTCACAATTAATTTTGATTATTCCCAAATTTATTTCCAAGTTATAAAAATTATCGTACAAAAAATTTGTTGCAAAAAAATCATGTATAAATTTAAAAAAAAAAAAATTACTGAAAACAATAATGAAAACTTGGGAATCCAAAAGTTCAGGATTGTGGGTCTGGATCTGGCCCAGAATGTTTTTAATTTGCTCACAGAGTTTGGCCTGATTCCAAAATGGTATGATATGTTGGGCTACAGCCATTAGGAGTAAAGTTGAAAAAGTGTGACACAGTGACATTTGCATTATATATATTTGTTGACCATTTAATACGAACAATATTATCCAATCAGAGACTAGAGATCAAACCTTTTAGTATTAACAAGCTCCATGGAATTTATTTTGAGCAGCGAAATGGCCATAAAAATGGGGTACAATTTATTTTCATTTTTATGTAATACATACATGCATATATATATATATATATATATATATATATATATATATATTGGATCGATGTGAGTTTGTGATCAAGTTTCATGCTTTTGCAATCGTCAGACAAACTGATTAATTTTTAAATTTTGGATTTATGTAGGGTTGTGTATATCGGTGTTTTTATGGAAGTGGGAGGAAAAATTTTCATTTTATTTCTCATACTTAAAAAAAAAAAATGCATGCACAATTGAATTATCAATGACATATGCAGACACTCCCACTGGAGCTCACAAAAACATAAACATATGTGAACAGCATGGGAATTGGGATATATCCATATATATGTGTCCTTGTGTGCATACATACATACACATTTGGTTGCTGTATTCAATGTTGGATTGTGTAGCGAATATTTTGGATTGTTGCGCTGTCAACATGCAAATGTGCAGACCATTTTTCTATTTTTGTTTGCTGAATAATATTTTCTCACACGCACGTATATACATATGATAGGGTCTGTGTAAGACTATGATAGGTAAAATATTATTCAGCTATTTTCTACTGATCTATCTTAGATTATAATTCTAAATCGTTTCTGCACATATATAATACTAGCAACAGTATCAGATAAATTGATTTATATCCATACTTATACTATAAGTTAAGCAGTTTGGCAATAGATCAAAATTTGTTTATAAAAAATTTATATTAACATTTCATACTTTATATGTTTTTTTACTTATATCTTAAAATCTGAACTAAAATTTATTGTGAAAAAACCCAAATAACTTATGTATTTAACATACCAAAAGATTTTCCACTAAAATGACCATTTATTAATTTATATACTGTTTATTCCAGTACAAATAACAGAAACTTAAGCATAAATCTTCATAATTCAGCTCTGGTGTTGTTTTAAGATCTCCAACCCTTCATCGGAAAAAAGCGTCTTCAATTACTACTATGGCCTTCTCCTATACTTATTTTTCTTTTCCCCCTCATCGTTTTTCTTCTTTTTTGTTTCCACCTTTCATTCTTTCTCTCCTTTTTCTTGGGAGTTTTGGTGTACTTTTAAGGTCAGGCCCTTGTCTTAACGCCTCAACATTTCATCACCACCCAAACTGCTATCAACAAATAACATTGTGTTACTCTATCACCCTCTTTCCTTTCCTTCTCTTTAACCTTCTACATTTCCTCTTCAGGTGTCTCTCTTTACATTTTTTTTCCCCCCACATAAGCAGCTTGCTTGTAAATAGAATTGTTCATAATCACCAATCAAGATGCAGTCTCATCGAAACAAGAATGCATCTTTGTTGTTTTGTTTTTTTTATGTAAAAATTACAATAAATAATTATTGCACTACTCTTCGTATTGGGCCCTCTTTTGGATTAATGGTGTGAATGTTAGAATTTATATTATTTTCATTCTCATTACATTCAGATATATATATATATATATATATATATACACACACACACACACATACATACATATGCCCAAGTACAGGATTGGTGTATATGGAATAAACTCCAATAACCCCAAAATACTATTCTTAAAAGACTGCTCAATACAGAGTAGAGCAAATATAATTTATTAAAAAATTATAATATAAAAATGTTATAAAATCACTTTAAAAATAGCCATTTTGTTTAAACATTTCTGGTGTCTTATCAAGTGATGCTATGTGTGTGTGTGTGTGTGTGTGTGTGTGTATATATATATATATATATATATATATATATATATATATATATATATATATATAATATTACACACACACACATATATATGTATTTATTTATGATGGGCACCTGGCCAAATGTTTAAAATGTTTGCTTTCTGGCCGTGAGATCCAGATTTGAATCAAATCATGGTTGATTTGTCAGGGAGATGACTTCTTGATAATATTGGCATGGAGAGGTGTTCTTTATATTCCAAAAGAAAAGAAATTGATTTAAATTCTTTAAGGACTTCTGCTTATAACTAATGTAAACATTATGCCATACAAAAATTTCATAAAACATAACAGATATAAAAAAAAAAAAAAATATTTTACCAAGATTTTCTAAAGAAAAACATTTCTAGAATAATTTCATTCATTTGTGAATAAGTACTGAAAGTTGCATTAAAGTCCAACAAGTATTTATTTTTTGCTAGAATTTCCAAATCAATGTGTTTTTCCACTACAAAAAAGATGCTAAAATATCCTGTACTAATTTATGGTTCCTTGTTGTTTCAAGAAAAACTTAAGTTTTTAACCAAAATTTCTGACATTCTAAAAAGGATTAAAAAAAATAATTTAATAATCAGAAAATGCTTTGGTCTTTCCTCTTAATAACAACATAAATATTTTGATGATAAAACTTTGTATTTATTAAGTTTGGGGCATTTTTTCATCATGTATGCTCATTTTTAGCAAATTTTTGGAGGTACCTATATATATATATATATATATATATATATATATATTCAAAAGTCGTAAATAATTATATATAGGCCACACTACAACTTGTTTGACATGCAAACTCACTCTACACCTTTCTGACCATAGCTCAATTAAATCTCATTTAAATATTCATAGAGACCTACTGAACACTATTCGGAACATACTTGTTGACAACACAAATATAATAGCAACATCTACATGCAAAAAAGGCTAAAAATAATGGAAGCCTTATTAATAAAAAAAAAAAAAAAATTAATAATATTAACTTTGAACATGGACACAATATCTTGACTGTGTTTTGAAAAATGAAAACATTTTATAAAACCATACATGCAACAAACTATTTCTTATTTAACAGTTAAAATATTTAATCCTTGAAAATGGCTAAATGTATAGCTTAAAATGCTCAGATAAAAAAGAACATTCAGACAGTTTTTATATAATTTATCATCTGAAAAGAAAAAAATTAGATCGCATGAGAAATTGTATAAAAAAACTAAATAAAAGCACCTTGTCTGACATATTCAATGAAATGTGCATGAAAGAAGGATTGCTGCTGCCTAATATATATATATATGTGTATATATATATATATATATATATATATATATATATATATATACACACACACACTAAATGTTTGGGGACAATCAGTATTTGAAAGAATCACCTATAAATTCGAAACTAATTTGTTACTCACTTTGGACCTGAAGTGTGTAACATATATAATTTTTTTAATCATTTCACCCCAAGCAAGACAATAATATCACTAAGATGCAAGCAGCTACCAGGAGTGAAAAAGAATGAAAAGACTTTAAAGGGAATCAGAAAACCAATCCTAAACAGGAAACAAGGAATAAACTTCTACTTCTGTTCAAAAGACCAGGAAAGTGTGTAAACTGGACAAAAGGCAAACCTATCTACTACCATAGTACATGGTGTGGTAGAAATACCTCACACATTTAAAATCTGGGATGTATTTCTGCCATGTCATGTATATAATAATAAGGAAATTAACCTATTACTGCATAAATTTTCCTTAAAACTTTAGCTCTTTTTGCCTAATCTACCTTTCAGGTTAATGGCGATCTTAGGGTTGGTGGTTTTTGAATTTTAAGTAATCCCTCTCTCAAAAATTGGACACCAAAAGAAAAAAAAGTCTTTTTGACATTCTGTTTTTTGTGAGCATGTAAGTTAAACTTTGCTGAAAAATGTGTATTTTAATATACAAGGTATGGCAGAAATACCTCCTACATAATGGTAAGACATTTGTGGCAATGGTTTTTTCATCTAGCTAATGTCTTACCATTATGTGGGAGGTATTTCTGCCATACCTTGTATTAATATATTTCATTTGCATTCATTGAATTATGATGGAAGCACACACATATTAGACTTAGTATTTTAATTTGGTAGCAAAGTTTAAGAATCAAATGAGATGTGAATTAGAATGCTCCAAGTATCATACTTGGTGTTCTTGGATTTATTCTGTCTTTCAGGTACAAAGATGGCAGAGATCACATGGGAGAGCATAAAGATGATGAGAAGGAGTTGGTTAAGCGGAGTCCGATTGCTTCTTTGTCTCTCGCCAAGAGCGAGATTTTGTGTTCCGTCACGAGTGTGCTCGGTGTAGTCAAAGCAAGAAAAACAAACCCCACCGCGACATTGTTCCCGTCAAGATTCAACTGCAACATGGCAGTCTACTGATGATGAACTATCCAACAAACTGCCACTGGTACCATGCATTACCCCCAAGAAAAAAACTTCCTCCAGCTGTCAGAATAAACATGACCTTTCGGAACATGATAGACCCCAAATGAATTTTGTAACAAAGACAGGTTTTTGTTATTATTAAACTTTTTTTTTTTTTTAAATTTCTTTTTTCTTAATAATTTTTTCTTTTTCTCATATTCTTTCATATTCATTAACAGTTTGCATCTTAGTGGCTTTATTACCTTACTTGGGGTGAAATGTTAAAAAAAATATTTTAATCTAACATTATTTCTTATCCTAATTTACTAATGTTAAAAGTCCTTTAATAATATTTCTATAATTACTAAAGTGTGGACACACTTGTTAAAAGTCGTTTCCCTGATTGAAAAAAGAAATACAGGTTCAATTCCAGTTAGGAGACACATTTCTTTTCTCTATCTCTAGGCTGGTAAACATTAGCCGTTTAGACAAAAAAAAAACGTTTACTTAAACATGTTTACCCACTAAATTACATGTATAGTAATACACACACACACACACACACACACACACACACGTTTTAAAATATTTACAGTAGATAGTTTAAAATATCTTGGGTTTTAACTAATAGTTTTAAATCGTTTTTTTTTTAAAAAAAACCATTTTGACATTTCATATCTTAGTTACCTCCCCTGATATTTACATCATGAAATTTAAATTGTACAGTACACATGCTTAGTGTTTTCACTTCACAGGTAAAAAATTTAACTTTTAGATGAACACAACAATTTTGTCTGGGAAAAAACAACACCCTGATGATGACATTGTGCTAATCTTGAAAGTGCTTGGAAAATATATATATATATATATATATATATATATATATATATATATATATATAAAATGGCTTATGACTTTTGTAAAATAATTGATTTCCTGTATTTTTGTTAAAAAAAATAATGAAGGGTTTAATTCGGTTTTTTTAAAAAATGTTATGCTATAGCTATAAACTTTTGAATGCATTAAAAATTACATAAGTACCATCCATTTATATTAGCAAATTGAAAAATAAAGCTGAAATATTTTGATTTTTACCCTTATTGTGTATATAGTAAAATCAAATTTTTGGTTTGGTGGTGACCTTTTCAAGAACTAAAACAAATTAATGCTTCTTTCATTACTTTTAAACAAATGTTCATTGATTTATGACACAGGAATATCAGGTAACAAAAAAGTCATATGTCTTTAAATCTCAAAATCTGTGTGTGTTATCGAATGTTGTTTCTGTGTTTACACAGTTTTTATCTGATTTTATTTAAATTTTTTTTTGTTTGATAGATAATTCTTCAGTGCCAGTTTTAAGTCCAAATTACACATTTCTCTTGGCCAAGCGTTCAATCTCTCTCAAGCCTAATACTACAGTTTTAAGGTGTTACTTTCATTGTCATTTATAGCTGTTCCCAATTTAAATCTTTTTATTGTTCTGCCAGTTTTTTGCATTGCATTCATCATAATAATAAGTAAGCTTGCTTTTGTATTACTGAACATTTATTTTTGCTAACCTTTTCTAAAGTTATTTGAGCTTAGTGATCTCTGTAGCTTTATGGCATTCTCTTCTGGTATTTGCCCAAGCATTCCATTTCACAATTTATACTTGTCTAAAACATGCCACCAAAAATAAGAACTTGCTTAGGTCACAAAATTGCTGCTGACCATGTTCACCATGCGAATAAGAGATTATGAATCCTCTTTAGAAAGATCAGTTTGCCTCTCTCAAAATGCCTCCCTGAATACTTCAATCAGAGCCACTGAGTCCGAAGATCAACGTAGCCATCAGCTTTCCAGAAGAGCATACCTGAACGCTTTTGCGCACAAGTCTGAAAATCATGATTAAAGAACTCCACAGCTGTGGAGAAATGCCTTTTCAACTGTTGCTGTGCATGAGACTGAAATAAGATTGAGAATGCAAAAATGGCCCTTTTCAGGGCTACTCCCTATTCAAATTGTTAACCAAGTTTTGGGGATGTGCCTCAGTTGCACCCAAATGTTGTTACTAATATTGATTTTTGGGTGGGTTGACTTTAAACTTAAACTGCTCCAATTGAATGGTAAAAATTCTCAGTAATGAAACATCTGGCCAAAGATGGGTTGTACTGCCAGTGTGTGTGTGTGTGTGTGTATATATATATATATATATATATATATATATATATATATATATATAGTTTTTTTTTTTTTTTACTGGATATTTGTACTGTAGTAGACACTTCATTTATTTATTAAGTAGTATATTTTTGTCTACTGGCCTGAATATTTGAGTTATCTTATTAATGGAAAAGATGCACCCTCTGGCAGGATTCAAACTTGCACCCCCCTTTGCAGGAGAAACCATCATTAGATCAAAAAAAGTTGAATAGTGTATTATAACCACAAATCCTTCTCAGGTTCTCAAATATTCACCCCAAGAAATCAGACATTTGAATTTTGTAGCTCAATTTGCAGCCAATATAAAACAGCTGGGAAAAATAACATAATCTCATATACTTTATCAAAAACTGCAGTAAATACTGTTAATATGGGACAAGCCATCACAGATAGATTAAAAAATAACTAGCTCAAGAACAAGATCAATCATTTAAGCAGCTACAAAAAGAAACTTCTTTACAGTTGATGAAAATGTCTATTAGTCTATAGTACTTCCGACATCTGGTGTGACACTATGGCAAAGCCCAGGCCATTCATCCTATTGACAATGTGAAGATATATTTTTGAAAAATTCCACAACATAGGAAAAAGGGCCACAGAAAATGATCAGAGACCATTTTGTCTGGCCACATATGAATACAGATACCTGTTTCTGGACTGAAAATTGTGTGCCTTGTCAGAGGATAAAATTCATAGGAAATCACCATCAGGAAAGTTCAGCGAACCTGATCAACGATTTGCACATATCCACATGGATTTGGTTGGACCATTCCCATCATCTGATGGCTTCACATATATATTAATGATCATTAATCAGTTCACAATTCCAAGTGATCAATATGGCAAAATGGATGTACAGACAATGCATATATCAATAGAATCAAACCAGCCCATGTCAGTTCACTAAAACAAACTACAAAACCACAAACTCAACAGATCAACTGAAGGAAGATGATACATATTATACCAAACACTCAAGATCAGGCTGATGCATCTGTTGCCACAACAGATTCAAATCATACATGACATATATACAACTAGCAGTATAACCTGTCATCGCCCGGATGTTTCATTACTGGGAATTTTTGCCATTGGAGCAGTTTAAGTTCAAAGTCAGCCCACCCGAAAATCAATATTAGTAACAACAATTTGGTGCAACTGAGGCATATCCCCAAAGGGTGGGGGGGGTAACAATTTGAATGGTGGGTAACAATTTGAATGGTGGGTAGCCCTGAAAAGGGCTGTTTTTGCATTCTTAATCTTGCAAGAAAGGAACCTCTTCCATGGACTGTCATAAAAATAATATACGATAATTTTTCTTTATAATTCTAATAATCCTTTGCATTAGAATTATACTCTCTAAATTGACTGAACGCTGTTTTTTTACAGACATTAAATTTTGCCTTTGATTTTTGCGCAGAGTGTAAAAAATCAGTTTTTTTCGATTTTTCACCTTCAAGGTTTTTTTTTTTTCCAGCCAATTTGGACTCAATACCAGCACTGAAGAATTACCTATCAAACAAAAAAAAAATTTCATCAAAATTGGATGAAAACTGTGGAAACACATAAACAACATCTGATCGCACATACACACATACACACACACACACGCGCATACATACATACATACACATGTTTTGAGAATTATAGATATAAATAACCAATCTTTTGCATCCCCCCCCAGGGAGTTTTAGCTGTTAACAGATATAACTGTAATGCTTTTCAAAGCATTATATCACCTCCAAGCAGCCAGCTACCTATAAACTGCACCAGTTTCAAACAAAACTCACTACTTTCAAAATGATTTTGAAGGCACGATTTTAACAAACTCTTTTGGACAGTAAATACTCTAGAATTAATTTGTTTGGCTGACTCTATCTCTGACACCACTTTTGATATTCTGTAACTAAAACAATTCATTTTTTTTTCTTTCTCTGTACAATTTCTTGGTAATGTTATTTCAAGAAAATTCTCAACATATTTTTGCTGGTAAGGGAATATTTGTAGCAGAAAAACACAATTTACACATAGAGATAAATTAAAACCAAATATATACGATTATTAGAAGATATATATCTCTAATTACACACCAATTTTCATCTTGTTAAGTCACACACACACTGCACTCTACTGAAAACAAATTTTAAAGCACACACAAATATACCACGGTACTGGCCATTATCAATGCAACTCTTGCTTGCCATAGATGCCTACAACTACGTATGTGCGTTTTCCTTATATAGGCTATAAGAGAAACTGGATGTGGCAAAGTGAGAGAGAGGGAGAGAGACTTCACACGCATACAGGTTAATCATAGACGCTTGTTTGAGAGCACAGCTGATTGCCTGTTCAATTATTAGGTAGTGAAAACCACCTCCTGTGAACACAGAAAGAAAACGAATTCCACTATCAATGCGACAAACCCAAACCGATAGCCAATAAGCAGTCAGCTGGTTTAAGTATATGCCTTTTTCATGCTCCCATTTGCCTTCCTTGTGCACTGTACATTTGGTCATTTTTCCGAACCAGTGTCTAATTTATTTGTTTACTCTAAAAATGGAGCATCCTGGGTAAGACGATAAACTACATCCAACAGTAAGGCCTCTGATCAGGAGGCTTTGAGGAGCATGAAACCACTTCTTACTAGCTAATGTTCCCAGGTCCACCCTGACTTGGGGTGGTAGCACCTGTTAGGATCCCAGCTATGGGCAAATAGCTAACCCCCTAAAATGAAGTCAAAATGTGTAGAAAGTTTTATAAAAAATTATTACAGCAACAAATTTTCAAAGAAAAAATTATTACCGGCAATA